ATATATATATAACTACAAAAGCTGCATGGACATAAAAATAAAATAAATAAATAAATATAAATGGACACTTTGACATCAATGGTGTTGGGTAATAGAGAAGCATTGAAGAAAAACCCATATGAGTTTGGAATTAAAGTAAAAAGTGTCTCTTTGTCCTGACAGGAGCCCCTCAGCACGAACCTGCTCCTTCCTGCTGCGCATCAGGACGTCAGAGGCGGAGACGACTTTGAGAAGTCTGTGGCCAGGAGAACCGTGTAGGATCGTTGTCCGGAGCTTCCGAAAGAGGCCAGTCTGGCCCCCCTGGTGTACTGTGACTCAACAGAGGGCACTAAAGCATCTCTTCCTCTCCTTTTCAGCTAATTAGCTCAGCTGGAGAGAGAACCCGGGTGCTCCAGAAAAAAAGAAAGAGAAAGAACGAGGGTAAAAAAAGGAAACAGATGACCTCCTCCAGTTGAAGCAGCCTTCGAAATAGCTGACCCACTTGTAGACACACTTTCGGATATTTGCGTGTCCTCAATGCAGTAACCCATATAGCGGTGTAGTCTACATAGGGCAGGGTGGAAATGCAGAACTCATCTCTGGCTGATCGGGGGGGGAAAGAATGATGGTGTGCATTGCGTTCAAAAAGCCTAAGGGTCTCGTGCTCGTGCATGTGCAGTTCCTCTCCGCACTCATCCATTGCCAGCACATCTGAGGTAGACAGGAAGAAGATTCTCCCACATCCTCCCACACGACCATTACCACGCTGACTGTTTTTGGCACCACAGCAAAAAAGACGCCGGCTTACTGCGAAAATGTTGCTTATCTAATGCGACAGCTCCATAATGAGCACTCTTTCTAATATTTCAGCTTTTTTACAGCACTTTTCATCAACATCGAGGTCTGATGGAGTGGCGACGCATTAGCGCCGCGATAGCCGTGGAATGGATTGTCAAGCAATTTGAAAAAGCCATCCGAATTCACATCACATACGCATATTAGCAGTAATACAAAGCACAAAGTCTGCAGAGATGTTAAATGCCAGGGGGAAAATGGACCATGTCTCCACAGGAGTCCAACTGAAAGCTATTTCAATGTAAAGGGACTAAAGGCACTGATGCGGTCACTGCGAGGGCATGGAATATATAACAGAAATCTGTAAAGAAAATCTCGGTCATTCTTCTTAACCATCAGTGAGAGATAACATGCTCATCACAAATGCTGAAAAATCACAAACAGATTTATAACTAGAAGGGCATCTCTAAATATGTGCAAATAGCTTTTAATCAAACATCATTTGGTCTTCATTTAAGTAAGTGTTGCAAACGAAAGAGAGAAGATGGTTTAAAGGCTGGGTTTGTCTCAGATGCTTTAATATCTGATGCATTCATCTCTGTTAATGAGTAATTTAAAGTTTGAAGCACTTGAACACAGTTTGCTGACTCACTGCAATATAGCATCATCATTTGTTGTGTGTGAGCCATTAAAAAGCTGCCTGTGGGAACAAGAAAGCGCCTAGTTTTTGACCAAAATTAATAATAAAAACAAATAAAAAAAAGAGGATGGGAATTATTGAACGGGTGAGGGGGGTGGGGGGGTCAAACTATCGAAAGGGCAGTGGACAAAAGGGTTAGCAAAAGTGTTATTGAAATCAGAAACCACAATTTCGCTGTATAGATTCCTTCTCAAATTGAAAATCAACTTTCAGTGCCCTTTACCATTAAAAGTCAGTGAAATAAAAAAGACAGATGTGGGGACCTGTATTCAATTAGAAAAACCAGGCACAGCTCAATGACCTCAGAACATTAGCAGCGTCGTCAGGAGCTTTCGTACGGTGCTTTAATGGGTACTCACCTCTGAGAGTAAGAAATCTGTCTGCGTGCTTTTGTCAGCTTTTTGGCAAAGAGATTTCAGAGCAGCATGGGTGGATTCCTGTTAAAAAGATGTATGTATCAGAAAAATGTGACCGCATTAACAAGTTTTATTACATAAAACAGTTCTCTGAAATATTTGATTCTGACTTGTCAATCTCAACATCTTATAATTGTATAGTCGTATATTGACTTATATTGACACATTGGCTAAACTGTATGAAGTGCCACTTAAAAATAATAATAATAATAATAATAATAATAAATATTTATAATATATAATTATTACATTCTAAAAATGTGTTTATCTGTCAATTTGAAAAGTGAATATTTATTTTTTATTTTTGAATTAATATATTGATAATTGATTTTATTTTTAAATGACACTCCAAGTCCTCCATAAAACTGTACATTTGGATGAAATACACACACACACATACATATATATATATATGTGACCCTGGACCACAAAACCTTAAGTGTCAATTTTTCGAAATTGAGATCTATATGTCATCTGAAAGCTGAATAAATAAGCTTTCCATTGATGTATGGTATGGACAATATTTGGCCGAGATACAACTATTTGAATATCTGGAATCTGAGGGTGCAAAAAAATCAAAATACTGAGAAAAACACCTTTAAAGTTGTCCAAATGAAGTCCTTAGCAATGCATATTACTATATTGTGAAAATCGCCTTTAAAGATGTCCAAATAAAGTCCTTAGTAATTCATATTACTAATCAAAAATGAAGTTTTTATATATTTACGGTAGAAAATTTACAAAATATCTTCATGGAACATGATCTTTACATAATATCCTAATGATTTTTGGCATAAAAGAAACATCTATAATTTTGACCCATACAATGTATTTTTGGCTATTGCTACAAATATACCCCAGCGACTTAAGAATGGTTTTGTGATCCAGGGTCACATATAGGGTCATGATAATGATCCTCTGATTGTACATTCATATCGGCTATATGATTAAAAACTGTATTTTGTATTTACTTGCATTATCTTTGCGTAATATTAAAATTGGTTTGATGATCTGAATGTTTTAAGTGTGACAAATATGCAAAAAATTAAAAAAACAGGAAGGGGGCAAAAACCTTTTCACGGCACTGTATATGATCAGAAAAATTTTGAGACTTGGCTTGGAATATCAAGCAGTCTTAATACCCCTCTCGGATGCAGCAGACCGGCAGACTAATGAAATAAGAAATATGGCGCAGCAAAATTTAGGGCAGCCATACTTCATTAATGACATTCAATAAAGACAGTAAAAATTTACAAAGACAAGCCTAGCCAGCAGGCTGCCAGTTTCACCAGTGAGTATTATTTTACGAGCTTTGCCATGATTTATTAAGCCATTGTGGCCGCAGGTTCTTTTCCCACTAAAAATAGAGCGGAGGTCTCTGGGTGAAAGAATCTGCAAAGCGATGATGTCAATGACCAACTATTCTGTTGATTCCAATGTCGTCAGCAGGATGCCACATTATGCATACGTGTGTTCAATATGCATGCCTTACTAGAGATATAACCACTGCAGCTCTCGGGTCAAAACCCACATCACACAGAGTTTGAGTCACGGGTTCCTATGGAGCAAAGAAACTGCAGTGAGCACTGTGGTATTTACCAACAGACTGTTTTCTCTGAGAAAAAGACTGTGACCTTCAGAGACGTGCTTAACACTATTGGGAGCACATTTTCTGAATTCAGCTCTCGAAGAGAAGAACGATAAGGACAACATCAATTCACACCTCTACAGGCTGAGCGAAAGTTGAACTTGAAATCTTTTCATTGAACACCTAGACAGCGATCAGTAAGTATGGAGAACGTTTAACACTAGTAATGCAGTGCAGCAGCTGAAAGAATAAAGGCGCATTCACTCACACAATTTCGTGCTCAGATTTGCAGCACCAAAGCATCCTGGAGTCATTAGTTTTCAATGAGAGCTGGCGATTTCTAGAGCTTGACTTTTTGCGAAGTATGGACAGGTTTTAGGAAGGCTTTTGGGGCATGGAATATAGTGTACGAGTCATACAGTATGCTGTCATACAGAAATGCTGTTATGATACTTTGAATGGTGAGTGGTGATTTTAAAAATGTTGCTAAAGCGTCATGTGTGTGAATACACGAAAAAGAGCAAGCAGGACGACATTCAAAATCTCATACATATAAGTAAATGACAATTTGCATTTTTGGGTGAATCTTATCCACTCATTCCTCTTGTCCAATCAGAAGACAATAAATGTTAAAAATTTGCAGCACCAAAGCTTCCAGAAGTCTTTAGTTTTCAAAGAGAATTGGGGATTTGCAGAGCTCGACTTTTGTGCAATGCAGTGCCTATAAATGGGAGTCATCAAAACTGCAGGCAGGGTTTAAGAAGGCATTTGGGACATGGCATATAGCGTATGTTGTACAAAATGCTGTTATGACACTTTTAAGATGCTTTTGCCACCTTTTTGAAGTTTGAAAGCATCAGTCACAATTCATAGTAAATACACAAAAAGACAAACCAGAACAACCCTGAAAATCTCATATGGATAAGTAAATGACACAATTTACATTTTTGGGTGAATCTTAGCCACTCATTCCTTTTGTCCAATCGGAAGACATGTTAAAGATTTGCAGCACCAAAGCTTCCAGAAGTCATTCATTTTCAATGCAAGTTGGCGATTTCCCAAGTTTGACTTTTTTGAAATGCGTGGACTACAAATGGGAGTCATCAAAAGTGTGGACAAGGTTTAGAGAGGCCTTTGGGACATGGAATATAGCATATGACTCTTATGAATTTTATAAAAGACTCATTCAAATTCTCATACGGGTAAGTAAAATGACAGAATTTGCATTTTGGGGGGGATCTTCACCACTCGTTCCTCTCGTCCAATCATAAGACACCAAATTCTAGGCGAGATATAAAAATCAGTCATGGATTCTTTGAAACATCATGTACTTTGTTTGTCCTTTTGCTTTTACAGCCTCTTTACTGCCCTCTATTGTTTTTATTTGTCCTACCCCCTCCTCCATGCCTATCACGCCATCCCATCCCTCTTTTCAAGACCACTACTCTATAAATCTGAGATGGACCTGTCATATTTCTCCTTCACTCGTCTCTGTCCTAGCTGCTGGGACTGGGAACATTATGTGTCTCACAGTGCATGTAAAGTACACAACGAGCTGTTTACTGCCAGTTAAGTGTGTCTATCAAATATTGTCCCAGGTCAAAGGAAACTGCAGAGTAGCATCTCCATAACTTCCTAATGCGAGTCTTGGGAGAGGGAAAGGACATGAAACCAACAGGATGTTAACTCGAACTGTCAAATAAATGCATGGAATTAGGGTATCCCAATGACAATGGAGCAAAGGAACCTGTTTTTACAATCGTAAGACTTTCTGAAGGTGGATATGAAACTCGCTATTATGAAATGTTACATTGAACTCGTCGAGTTTTCTCACCAACTCAGCCTGAAGTCGTACAATCAGCTCGTCTTTCTCCTTCAGCTGCTGTTGCAGGAACTGGTTCTCTTCTCTCCCAGGATCCTGCACACAAAGCACACACAAACACGGTTAAAAAAAAAAAAAAAGTCAGTCTGCGTTATTCAAGCCATCGCCCCCAGTTTGAATCTGCAGCCTCGTGTGTGGGAGTAAAACTGCTGCGGTTGAGAAGTGGAGGTGTGCTTTCTGTGCTGTGGTTTCACTCTCCTCCATAAACTTCACCTGAACTATCAGGCACTTTCCCACGACCTTGTGCTGTCAGCATCCATTATGTGAGGCTGGGGAGGGAAGGGAGGGACTGAAGCTTCAAGGGCAGCAGAGAAGGACCGAGAGGCCCAGGAGCAGAATACGGCCTCCACGAACAACCGAAAAGAACCGCCGCCCCCAAAAACGACATCTCTCCTCTAAAAGAAGCGCTCGATGGAGATTAGACAGCGCTGGCATGAGGTAGCCGGACGCAATATGCATGAGTCTGGGAACCTTCATGAGAGATCAGGGAAGGGGATTATGGTCTTCAATGCCACGTGCTTGGAGACATCGTTGCTCAAAGCGCTCTGGCTTTGGCTTGAATGAGCTCGTTTTATTGACATTACATAAACATCTCAAGGGAGCTGTTGTCAATCTTTGATGCTTCTCTGTAAAGGAAACTAATTTCTGCCTGGAGATGATGATGACATACAAAGCGACTAAATTAGAATCATACTGTACCTATACATTTTTTATGAACCGCTGCAACCCCATCAGCAAGGCTCAAGTATCTCTTCATCGCTACCAAACCGAAACATGTTCCTTTGAACTCAAATACTGGATTTCATTTAGCTGTATAATAATGGCCATTAATTATCATTAATATGATTACAATACCATTAAAATGGCCATTATCACAATGAGTCACTTTTGAACTAAAAATAATCAATTACTGTTGGTGAAAAACATACTCACCAAGTCTGCTACCATTCAAAGGTTTCAAATCGCTATGAAATTTCTATCTTTGTGTGATTTATGCTTTTATTGGTCAAGGATGATTAAACTGATCAAAAATTCAACAATTAAACATTTTAGGGATACCTTCTTAAGAAAGAAGTTAAGAAATAATAATAATAAAAAAATACACAAATTCACAAATTGGACTTATGAACATTATTAAAAACTTATTAGAATTTCAAATATTTTCTTTAAAACATGTCCGTCCTTGCTGAGGATTCTCTAATGAAAAACAACTCAAATACTGTTTTTTGGGCTGCCCGCAGATTATCGTAATAACTATAATAAACATGCACACCATTTTTCGTTGCAACTGACTTGACAGCAGTTCAGCACTCAGTCACGTTTTTGAATGTTCCACACATTTCTAAATCAAATTCGAATTGTTCTCAAGTTTTGTCTTTAGCACTGCTAAAGTTAGTGTTCATTTTGGCCATTTTTCATTTAGTCTTAGTCTTTTAAATTAGTCTTAGTCCTGTGTCAAATGTACATTTAGTTATAATATTTAGTCAACATTGTCCTGTTGTTGTTTAGTCAAGTTTTAGTCAACTAAATGTCTAAGCATTTTAGTCTAGTTTTAGTCAGTGAAAACTTCAAATTTTCGTCATGCTGTATAATGGTTAAACCGAAAATTTATATACGCACTCTGTCTACATTATGAAAACTGGTAAAAACAAGCAACATTATAACAGTGAAATTCCTAATAGTAATTCCAATAATGTTTCTCTATTAAAACAACGGCCGTTGAGTAAGTGCAAAATAAGTGTAAATTCAGCAACCACAATCGCAAACAAAATAGTCAAGATCTCATGACAGAACACACAGGCTGAATGACACTTTCATTTAATCTGATTTAATCTTAACTGGTAATCTTAACATCTTTGACTGTATTTATGATGATTAAATGCTATATTGGCTGAACAGAAGCATTAGTTTCTTTCAGCAACACAAAAATGTCTTTATGATGCCAAACATTTCAATGGTATTGTATGAATATACACTTCCAATCAAAAGTTTAGGATCGATACGAATTTCAGCTCTTATGCTCACCAACCTAAGATTTATCAAAAATACAGTAAATATTGCGAATATTAAAATTTTAATAATTTCAGTTTTTTATATTAAAATACATTACATTAATATTTTTTACATAAAACTTACTGACACCAAACTTTGTAGCATACATAAAATAAAGTATTTAAAAATTCATAATTAAAAAAAAATAAATAAATACAAAAAAGGTAATGTCCTGAGCAATGCATGCAGTAAACAGGCAGAATGTAACCTCCTCCTAATCCCTGCCTGTGGGGAATATTTAATTATATCTTAATTATAGAGGTTTAACAAGAGTCACTTTATCTGTACAGTGCCATGGAGGACCTCTAGAGAGGCGTTTGGTCACAGTTGCACACGCACACACGGATACACAACACACAGGACAGAGAGCTGGGTCTCTACCCCGTGCTGTAAAGCTGCATTTGAGTGGTTCCTCCATCTGTCTGTCCTAGATTAAACACTTGAGGCAAGAAGAGGACGAAGGACCTAATAAATGAGAATATCACAGAGCCCTGATCATAAAAGGCAACACTTAACATTGCAGCAATCGATGCAGTCAAAGAAATAATGCTTTGTCACCAAGAATGCGGTGAGCATTCTGTTTATCAGTTTCATTTAATGCTGCAAATATCATAGTGGTAGGTCTGGGCGATATATATTGAATATTCGCTTTCCTAAAGACAACATCATTCGGTTAGTTTTCCAATCCGTCCTAAGACAGAGACAATAGTTCAATAGTATTAAACTTCAGTTGCAGAACAATGTTAGAGCTGCTATTCTACGTTCAATTCATTCCTGTGAATCAATTAGATTTGATTAAAATTAAATGCTTTAATAAAAATTTACAGTATGCGTAGGTAAATATTGGTATTGGTTTATTGCTACAGTATATTGTTGTCCATCTGTCAATCCATTTTCGAGGGGATGCTGGAGCATGATATATTTTTTATTGGTTCTAAATAAATGATTAAATATCATTGTTTCTCAATTTAATTTATTGAAGAAAGCGAGGAAAAATGCCTTAATTCTGGTCAGTTATTATTGTTATTATTATTATTATTATTATAATGACTTTTTTTTTACTGTATTTTACATTACTCTGAATCTCATCGGCTACCATGTCTGTATGGTCAAAAATATAATTCCACCAAATGGAAAAAAATAAATCTAGATATTTCAAGGTAATATACCCACACACAAAAAATACATCTAGATATTTCAAGGTAATATACACACTACCTTTAACGATTTGTGGTCAATAAGAAATAAATAAATATTTTTATTCAGCAAGGACTCATTAAATTGATCAAGTATGACAAAAAATATTAAGCAGAACTGATTTCAACAATAATAATAATAGGAAATGTTTGTTGAGCATTGGAATAATTCTAATATGATGATTTCATCAGCATATTAGAATGATTTCTGAAGGATCATGTGACACTGAAGACTGGAGTAATGGCTGATGAAAATTCTGCTTTGCCATCATAGGAATAAAACTAAAATATATTTAAAATATATTAAATTATATAACAGTTACTCTACATGGTAATAATATTTCACAATATTACTATTTGTACTGTATATATGCAAATAATTGGCATAAGAGACTTTTAAAAATATTTAAAACATCTTACTGGCCACAAACTTTTTTTAATGGTAGTGTATGTTCTTATATATTTGTCATCAAACAGCTAATTTTTTGCCATATCGCTCAGCCCTACCTGACAGTTTCATTACCAAGAATAGTCCAAGATTAGAGAAGTGCAGAGTATTTGACAGATGTACTTTGAAGGTAGGCATAAAAAGGAGTAAATGTGATAGATGTCCTCAGTTATTCCTGGAGGTTTGTGATGTTATAAACTTCAAACAGGACACCCTCAGAGTGGCGGGTGCAACTACACCCGCTTAACAAGGAGTTATTAATGCGCAGTTGACAGGGACACCAGGACGAATGACTTTGGAACCCCAGTCCAAGCTCATTTTCCCAGGGTGCAGAGCAAGAGGCTCCATTATTACCCTAACCCCTAATCGCTGCAGGAGAACGCTTTCCGCAGGCTCTAATTATTAAGAAGGTGGGGATAACAAATGTTTGGTGAGAGAAGTTTTCTGTTAAAAGTAGGACGTCAAGTGACACGGTTCCGTCTCAAGTGGGTTCTAGGGCTTTATTTTTAAAATCGTGAATCTTTTCCTTTTTTTTTTAACAGAATGAATCAGGACAAGTCCCACCCCTCTCCTGTCAGTTGAACACAATGTCAGAATGCATGGGGTCCTATTCTAAGCATCTCCCTCTCCCGCTGCGTGGCACTAGGCTACGGATGAGCCGGAATGTCACGTGATTCGCTGCCGCAACCGTCGCTTCTGTTAGCACTCCATGTAGGTCAGTAAGGAGGACAGAGAAAGACGCAGACCTCGTTTCCACTTCGCAATATTTTTAAGCCGAAAAAAAGTCCGGATGAAAAAACAAAATCCTCTTCTACCAAGCAAAAGCTTGTCATACAAAATTACAAACCTTTCCCAATGACAGTCCTAGCCCATCTCCACAAGATTAGGACACATAACCAAATAATCTCATCAAGATAGTGGGAAAATTGTATTGATGGTGGAGAAAAATGTAACAAATTCTATCAGAGAGAGGAGCATGAATGAAAAGAGTAGTGTGTGTTTAGGAGAGGCACAATGGAGTTAGAAAATTAACTACATAAAAATGGAGAGACCTCTGTCTCAATGCAGTCATTTAGCGCTGTCCTTATATTTGATCTGCAGACTTTGAAATCTTCAGGGAGGAAAAAAATGAAAGAGAGCTTTTTAAATCAAAGTGTGAGCCGACAATAATACCTCAGCAGCAAAGAAAGTGTGCATCCACGTTACTAATAGAAAAGAAACACATTTTGACAACACTGAATGAGGACAATTACCTTAAAGGGGAGATATTTCTCACTGCAGGGGCTTATGGGTAGAGAGTGAAGGCTGCTGGCAGGACTGATCTCAGTGCTCTGAAAGGCAAAGATCAGACATCTTAATATTTAATTAACACATGAAAAGAAAATAACTACTGAAAAAAAAGACTATAAATAATATTCTGCTCATCTCACTCTGAACTAGCTGCCTCTGAGATAACTACACTTGCCAGTACTATAAAGTTTGGCTGTGACCCACACACAGCCGAAGACTTCAAAATGTAATTTGCACTCATTGCTTAACCAATTTCATGTACAAGAAAATACTAAGAAAATTATCGTAATTTCCATTTTTTAATGTACTATTGTTAATTTATGTTTGTTCATGTACATTTATAATACATTTACTAATGTTAATTTACACAACTTAAAATGTTAAAACATATACGTAGAAACAAATAATAATCAAGCTCAATAAATGCTTTAAAAGAATTTTTCCTTGTTCATGATACCGAATACCCAAATTGTGCCACACTGTTATTACTCTAAAACTCACCAACGAAACACACTGGGAAATTAGCTCATGTCGTACATATTATATAATTATACCATCCAAACAGAGGAGCAGACAGCCCTGTCCTCTCTGGGCTGTAGCCTCAAACACTTCTCTCCTTCATCACGCTACTGCTGCCTCTTCCCCATATTAATGTGAGGAAGAGAGCTGCAGATGCAATAACACTGTCAAAGCATTTAACACTTTAGTCTGAGTAGAGCGGTGTGCAGACAAAATATTGAGCGATAATATGAATGTCAGACACAACTGTCAGAAAGAAAGAAAGAAAGAAAGAAAGAAAGAAACAACAAACAAACAAACAAACAAACAAACAAACACTGCACTACTAAAGAGTAAAGAGGATGATAAAAATGTTAATTTCTTCAAATTTTGGCCAAAATAAAATAAAAAACAAAACAAAACCAAAAGAAAAGAAAACAAAATTAACTTAAATGGGTCCTATTATGCCCTTTTCACAAGATGTAATACACGTCTCAGGTATAACCAGAATGTATCTGTGAAGCGTCAGCTCAAAATCCAGCACAGAACATGTATTAGTCCACACTGTAAATACCCCTTTTTGGATGGAAGCAAAAACATGTCGTTTTCGTGTGTGTCTGTGCCTTTACAGCTTGTGCCTCAGTTACTACAGCAACAATAAACAAATTATCTGTTTGGTTTCAATTATCATCTCTATCGCGCTCGTCAACTGTCAAATACTCACAAAGTTGTGTCAAAAACACAAAGTTCATACAAACACAATCCGTTATGTCTGAGCTGGGCAGGAATTATTTAAATGAGAGATATTGTGATGTGTACGCTCCCGGAAAAAAACTCAGGACTAATTGACTGTACCAGTTCTCTGTGATGTGCATCTGCATAGAAATAATTTTTTTTTTTAAAGCAGCACTTAAAACAAAACAAAAATATAACTTATATAAATATAATAAAAATAAAATAGTAAAATTAAATAAAAAAGTAGCAGTGCATCTCTGAGGCAATGCTTTCTTTCTTAAAGCAGCACTATTTATGGGTGTGTGAGTGGAGGGGCCCCGTGACATTCAGTTATTCCACCGGCAAGGAGGGGAAAAAAAATACCAGGAAAATGAGGTGACTATAATCAAGCAGTTTCAACGGGTCTATAAATTTCAAACAAGGTACAATATCACAACCATTACAATGTCATTTTGGTAAATGCTTCACAGCAAATGTGAATGAATTTTAAGCAGCACTTCAGACTCAATAATTATTAAAGGATTCAAGACTGATCCAGCATGTGCTGCTTTTGATTAATGTGTTTTCTACGCCTGCATTTTAAGTACAAGGAGAGGACAAGAAAACTGTAATGAAAAGCAAACATATTGAGGTAATCAAAGAAGGTATGAAAGCAAAACCAAGACAAACGTTTCACTAATGCAGATTCAAACAAGATTCAGTGCATTCAAACAAAAACTGCTAAACGACAAAACACCACAAGTAGAGTCAAAATTATTTTCTGAAAAATGCAAAACAGTAATTTAAGAATTTACCCTGTTCAATGTTAAAACTAAAATCTCTGCTCAGAATACGAAGTAATTATCACAATGGTTATATATGCACATGGCTACATCTCAACTGTTTTTGCTGGTGGGAAATGCAATAGTTATGTAAATGAAACAGGCAGGACGCACAAAAAAACAAACAAAGCCAGTTTAATCCACGAGGGATGCCGTGCCAGGTTCTGAATGCCAACAGGCACTATAGTACATAATGTTCAAAGGTATAAGAGCTATTAAATTCAAGCCTAGGTAACAAAAAACTATGTCTGAGAGGTTAGATGCTCTTGATTTAGGCTCTGAAATCAGTCTAAAGCTTTCCTATTACAGTAACTAAGTGTGAGCAGACATGTCCCTTTCACATATTTACTACTAAACATTTGGCTAAATCAAAGCCTCTCTGAACATTCTGAACCAGCATCCTCACTGCGCTGCCCTGAATTAGTCAGGAACAAGGTATCAAAGCCCAAAAGACACACGAAGAAACAAAGAACAGGCTGTGCGTAAAATCACTGGTCAAGCAAATAAAACCCACCGCAGAAATGCACAAGTCATTGTGATTCTTGTTACACTGTAGTTTACATATGCTGAAGGAAGATGGCTAATTTACATGTTAATGAGAATAGTCAGTAAAGAGGCCAAAGAACTTCCTATTCAATATTCATGTTCCTCCGTTGTGCGCTGTTATTTGGACCTTCACCGAGGAAAGTGATTGTTATTGTGAGGGAATGTAAAACAGAGTTCATGTTGCTACTACTTGGGGAAAGTGGAATGGAAATTAGGGTGTTCTGGTCAATAAATTAAGTTGGGCTAGCATTATTAACTGTAAGGGATAGAACCAAACGTTTTTTTTTATTATTATTACTGTGGTGACTTCAAAGAGCATTCAAATAAAATCCCATATTATTACCATAACAGACACTCCGTTAATGTTCTGAAAAGTGGGAATGCAATATTAAAGTTCTATACTATTTTTTTTCTAAATAATTAAAAATCACAAAAAAAAAAAAAGTAATCATTTTAAATTCTACAAGTGAATTTACAGATCACAACATGAAAAATGAATATCCATTTTGAGATTTCTTAAAAATTACATTTAAGAGTCATATTAGTGTTTTTAAAAATAAAAAATTATTAAAATAAAAAAAAATTAATTGGAGTGAATTTTTCATAGGTAATCTAAATGTAAAAAGTTAGGGGAAAATGAGCATGCACTATAAATATACAACTGATATCAATCAATAGAAATATAAATAAAATATGGGTTTGTAACCAAAACGGCATCGATAAATCTCTACGAAAAACATTAAATATACAAAAAATATAAAGTGCATCCAAAAGGTATTTGGATACTTTAGTCACACATAAAATCTTTATTAACAAAAAATAAATAAATTCTGCAAACAAATTATTTAATGATGTACCTGTACAGTAGTAGTCTTGCTGTAACATTTTACTTGCTGAACAAATCAACACTTCTTCCTCTCACAGCCTTGTTTTCATTCGTGTCACATTAAGTATAGTTTCTACTCTAACCAAGGTCTTCATACTGACTGAATATGTCTCTTTTGAGTGCGAGATCCTCCTGGTGTTCGCCCTGAATGATGAGGCATGAAACTGCCAGGGCACGGAGAGCTCTTCTACCTGTTCTAATGTACTCGTGATGAAGGCCATGGCAGCTTCATGAATCAACTGTCAGGGTGGAACATTACCTCCTGCAGGGTCCTGCGTAACCGCAGCAGAAGAGTCTTTACCGCTGTGCAGTCCTGCTGCATCAGCCTGAACGGCAACGCTTCCAGCCCGGGCAAAGGTTCATCATCACGAGACAGAAAGAGGGACATTGGCCGCTTCTCCCTGGAAAGATCAAAAGAAAACAATTTCTGTGAGCAAGAAACAGTCTGAGATTTGGGGTCATGATACCAGAAATCCCACTGAAAAAATGGATTTCCAACATATACTGGCAAATGAATGTGCATTCAATGTAATTTAACATCATTTAATGCAATAACAATACCATTTTCTATCCTGTTCTCCTCTGATTGTGATTTAAACTGGAATTAAATGTAAATGACCTCATTTTGTCTATTGTTTGCACTGTTCAGATTTCTGTGCAAATGAACAGATCAATCATTCATGTAGAGAATGGGATCAAATTAAACTTGATTAGAAGCGCTTCTTGAAAAGACTGAAAGGCAAAGGTTCAGAGTGAAGAAAAGACCCTCGAGAGACACTTGAGAGGATAGTCATACCCTCTTCATCAGGCCTTTCATTGGGTCCAAGTGGATACTAATCTATATATAAACTCAGACAATTAGACCGTTAAGAAGTTACAAAACATTACTTTTTCCAGTCTACTGAGATCTTGACTGAATGGCACAGCCTCTATATCAGGGGAATTATATGAGGGGTAAAAATTGTCTATTCCAAGGATGATGTACACAAAATCAAAGATTTACCACCCAAAGGTAAGGCCGTATCTTTTTCAAGACAAAAACTTTTACGCTCTTAATTTTTGAAAGAACAAAAGCCCACTGTATATCAATGGCGTATATCAAAGTTATCTTCAAAGGAAGCACAGGGTATTTGGACTGATAGAAATGTCTTATTGAGAGTCCCACACAAAACACGAAGAGAGACCTCTTGCTAATTACAACTCTGATTCTGCTCAACAGAAGGATCACATTGGAGCGCCAGACTTGTCTTTATACATTTCTGGGCTTCAGATCGAATTTAATTCAAGGTGCTTCAGATATAATTAAGTATTTATGCTTTTTAAAAGTACACCGATAACAGAAGATCAAAAGGAACCTTAGTGTTATTTGATTAGAATTAAGCATTGATTCCCGGGAAGCCCTCCAATGAGAGCATTGCAGAGTCTCTAAACACAGTCAGACTACCAAACAAACGTCTGACATTTTGTTTTCGTTTTTTATTACCACGCTGTTTATTTCAGGGCCTTTGTGGTGAGTGTCCTTGGAGCTGCAAGAAGAAAGTGAAATTTTACTTTGCTACTGCATGGCAGGTTACAAGCTTTCCATCTCACACTTGTCAATTAATATCACGATCTGAAACATCCTCTCTGAAAAATGGGAATATGTTTTCTTGTTTCTCAATCCATAGCATCGACTGGTAAAACACATACTATTCATCCTCAAGGAACGTATACATTTTTATGAATTTACAAAAGATTTCATAAATGGCTTGGGTTGCCTATGAGAACCGACTATGGCACCTAACACATTCCTCTAATAATGTATTTTACTGCGAGTCAACTGATGTATTTGTCAAAGCACAGCATGGAAAATCAATCATTGCACACATGAATTATAAAAGCAGAAGTATGGAAACACTATGTTTATTACTTAAAAAGGAAATCAGACTGAGCACTGCATAAATGATTGTACTGTATATTGTACCTTAACAATTATAGATTTCCTTTAGCTCTGACACCTGAGGCGTTTAACACCATTCTGAAATGTTTTTCCAAAAAAAAGGAGAACTCAACTTTGCCACTTTCAAGCAATTTCCAGACACATTAAAAGCATAGACCTGGTGTTAAATGGCACTTCCTATAAACAGAACTGTCAGTGTCATTATTCTGTCTGGAAGGGGACGTTATTTACTTGAAAGAAGCTCTATGCATCAGGTAATTATCTAGATTTAATCATTAATTACAATTTTAGATGTCAGGGCCTCTGCGATTCGGCTTAAGTAGTGTGATTGCTGCAATAACTAGAATAAATTAAAGTAGTGAGGTGAATCTCACACTGTGACAACACTTACCCTATGAATATGCTAACAAAAATGAAGCCTGGTTTTTGACAGATATTTAGCCTGTACTTCCAATCCTACAGCCACCTGACTGAGTGTTTTGCTTTCTTCCATTCATCTATTTATGAGCAGACCATCATGTTAATTTAAAATAATAAAGTCTATGTAGACTTTGAAATGCTGCATACGTAGGCAGCTCACTAAGTTTTGGAACAAAGCCTGTACATTATTTATGATATCATACAAGCCATTTACATTTAGTTGAGGCAATACTGTTATTAATCAGGTCTTGGAACACACTATGCTCCGAGACGTACCTAAAATCTGCTGACCTCACGGTCTTTTCATTGTGCTTCAGTTGCAGCTTTGTCTCAACATTTACACTAACACGCTGTAAAAAAATATTTTGCAGTTTAGTTGTTTCAATTAATTATTTTAAAAGGGTTAGTTCACCCCACAATTAAAATTATGTAATTAATTACTCACCCTCATGTCGTTCAAAACCCGTAAGACCTCCGTTCATCTTCGGAACACAAATTAAGATATTTTTGATGGAGTCTGAGAGCAACTCAACTGAAATGTTCCCAGACAGAAACGTAGTAAGGACACAAGTAAAACAGTCCATGTGACATCAGTGGCTCAACTTCAGTTTTGTGAAGCTACGAGAACACTTTTTATGCGCAAAGAAAACAAAAATTACATAAATTATTTAACAATTCTTCTCCCCCGAGTTTCGTCTTCTGCCATTTTGGAGAGTACCCAAAAAAGTCATCTGTGTTGTTTACGTTAGGAGGGGAAAGCGCGTGCATGAACGTAATCGCCGTAATCAGCGTTGTTTACACTTAGGGTAAAGCGTGCGTATGCGTTGTGATACTCTCCAAAATGGCAGAAGACGTAACTCGGGGGAGAAGAATTGTTGAATAAAGTCGCCATTTTTGTTTTCTTTGCGCACAAAAAGTATTCTCGTAGCTTCGCAAAATTGAAGTTGAGCCACTAGCTATGTTTCCATCCAAAGATGTGAATTTAATTTATGCGCAAAACTGGAATATCGCATAAAACATTTGCGAATAAAGCACCTTTTCCATCCAACGAGTCAAAGAGAACAAAATCGTCACTTCCTGATATGAACATGCTAACAAAAATGAAGCCTGGTTTTTGACAGATATTTAGCCTGTACTTGCAATCCTACAGCCGCCTGACTGAGTGTTTTGCTGTCGATGAATATGCAAATAGCATGCAAGGCAGGAGTATAGCTGCCATACTTAGTGTTATGATTTCTTCCATTCATCTATTTATGAGCAGACCATCATGTTCATTTAAAATAATAAAGCCTATGTAGACTTTAAAATGCTGCATACGTAGGCAGCTCATTAAGTTTTGGAACAAAGCCTGTACAATATTTATGACATAACTGATGTCACATGGACTGTTTTACCTATGTCCTTGCTACATTTCTGTCTGGGAACATTTCAGTTGTGTTGCTGTCTATGGAGGGTCAGAGAGCTCTCAGATTCCATCAAAAATATCTTAAAGGGGTCATATGATGTTGCTAAAAAAGAAAATGATTTTGTGTATTTGGTGTAATGAAATGTGTTTATGCGGTTTAAGGTTAAAAATAAAAACACATTATTTTCCACATACTGTACATTAGTGTTTCTCCTCTATGCCCCGCCTTTCTGAAACGCGTCGATTTTTACAAAGCTCATCGGTCTGAAAAGCGAGGTGTGCTCTGATTGGCCAGCTATCCAGTGCATTGTGATTGGCTGAATACCTCAAGCGTGTGACGGAAATGTTACGCCCCTTGCCATATTGTGATGCCGTGTCCCGGAGCGACGAGACAAAAACATTAAAACCCATTACAAACGAGGCATTTGTTGCATCCAGTGGGGACATAATTACGGATTATAATGACTTACACTGTCTTTTTACGCATTGCGTTGCATCGTGTAAACACGTTGCGTTGCATCGCGCCGCGTAAACATAAAACCACGTCTGCATTTGTGACCGGAGAAATGACAAACAACAAGCGCTCCTCTACACTGCCCAAAACTCGCGTTTGAATCATCAGTGGCAAATTCTTTAAATATGAAAACATACGAGCCAGAACAGCCGGCATTGTAGTCTCCTCTACCAGTCCTCCATAAAATGCGCTGCACACATCTGAATATACTGGGTTGAACTGTTCTGGAACAGTGTTGTAAATACAACTTAACCACTGATTTCTAGTCGTGTCCTCTTTTGGAAGGCCAAACAAAGTATTTTCGCTTTCACAACGAAAAACACAGCGGCCTAGCATGAGCGAAAGCCCCGGCTTAGCGTGAGCTGAAGCCGGGCAAGAGTGAGCTGAGGCGGCGGGGTCGAGAACGGCGCGCCCGGCGGATCCGACGAAGGAGCGGCATGCACATGTGACTACCCCGGACTGGACTCCGCTTCGTCCACGGTGAAAGTTGAAGTATTTCCTCAGCGACCAGCACGATGTATTTCCTCAGCAACCAGCACGGATCAGCTCCAGGCATGACGAAGCAGATACCATCCTCTTTTGGAAGGTCAACCAAAGTAGTTTCGCTTTCATAACGAAACACACAGT